TTGCAACACGAACAAGGGAAGATACATGACGCTGCCTTTGCGGAGACCAGTGTGAACGTACACGTAGCGACTCGGTTGCTGACTGGAGTCTTTTCGTTGTCGTTTCATCGGTCTTCAGTGCCTTGTTTGTGCTGCTCTGCCCCTGGTTGTCATAATGCGGTGAGCAAGTTTTAATCGCCGACGTTTCGCATCCGATTTCACTCCACAACAGCCTTCGGGGCCCTTCTTAACCCATTCGCCGACCGAGCCTGTATACTTTTCGATGACCTCAGTACCATGACGGGTAGGTGGGTAAGTGTTACGGAGACTTCGCCGCGATGTCCATTTCTCGTTCGGGCTTGGAACTGGCAATGACGAAGTTTAAAATTAAAATAATATGAATAATTTAATAATTTAGACGCATGCTATTTAATCGCGAAAGCGGTTGGACTGCCGCAAGATTCTGAAATCGCATGCAAGAAGCGCAGTAAAGTCAGAGGAATACACACATATGTGCAATGGTTGGATACCTGTAAATGCGTTTGTTCTGATAACATGATAGTGGTTGTAAAGTTGTTTGACTGTCTTAGCGGAAAAAGAACCTCTATGCACGATCTTTTTTCAGTGATTTTCTTTGCTCATGTAAAGTTAAGTAGAAAGATATAGCGACTGGACAATTATTTGATTATTTTAATTTGTAGATGGTCTTGCGATGTATGCCAGCATTATTGAGCAGCGCTTATTTTATTGTTTCTACTGAGATGCTCTCGATATTTCTATGCGCTAATAATGCATTCATTTTAGCAAATAATTTTTTTAGGGTTAAATTTCTGTTGACCATTTTTTTGTTTTGACTCTTCTAATACTGAAGCCATTCCCAGTTCTTCTCAGAAGATAACAGAACGTAATAAATGTTTGAATGATCGTCATATTTTATAGGAGGGCACGAACAGTTATTTGTATAAATGTTGAACGGAAGTAGTGGTAACACAGAACCTTGCATCACCGGTTTTCCATCGGTACGGATTTCTTCTTGCCGAATCTGGTCAGAGTTTGCCTGATACCTTTTAGATATTTTATTTTTGTTCAAGGTTTAGTATAATTTTTTCTTTCATGGGTACATTCTCTGCTACTGAAGTTGTCTTTCTTCCTATGCTGAAAATCAGGTTCACTGATGATACAATTCAGGCAATAAAATGTTCATTCTTTCTTCTTTTGGCATCGCTATTAACTTACTGCAATAACAGAAGTTGATTTCTTTATTGGCTGCATTCAAAATTTTTAACCCTTCTTTTGTATGGTACTGGCTACCGCATCGTAGAACGAAATATTCCACTGCGAAAGCAGGCCTAGTTTCTACTTATTTC